GGAAGGAAGGGAGATCAGGGATCACCCTGATCTCTGGGGGCAGTTCGTTCCAGAGGGTGGGGGCTCCCACAGAGAAGGCCCTCCCCCTTGGGGTCGCCAGCCGGCACTGTCTGGCTGCCGGCACCCTGAGGAGACCCACTCTGTGAGAGCGTACAGGTCGGTGGGGGGTAATCTGTGGCAGGAGGCGGTCTCGAAGGTAGCCAGGTCCGATGCCATGGAGCGCTTTAAAGATAATAATCAGCACCTTGAAGCGCACCCGGAAGGCCACCGGCAGCCAATGCAGCTCGCGCAAAAGCGGCGTGACGTGGGAGCGACGAGTCCCTCCCAACACCGCCCGCGCGGCCGCATTTTGAACTAGCTGGAGCCTCCGGGTGCTCCTCAAGGGAAGCCCCATGTGTATGGTGTTAGGATCCCTTCCATCAAGCAAGGTCATCCGCAGCCAAGGGGGAAAAGACTACGTTCCCTTAGCTGTTAAGAATGTCCTATGCCACAAATTCACTGTTACTTTAAAGCAGGGGTAGGGAGCCATGCTGGCTCAGGAATTCTGGGAGTTGAAGTCCACAAGTCATAAAAGGGCCACGGTTCCCCACCCCTGCTTTAAAGTAATGAATGGCAACTACTTCCCCCTGTGAATCAGACCTGCTCCTTTCTGCCTTCAGGTGATGCTCAAGAATGACAGGATGTTGATAACAGGCTGTTAAGGACTTCAGAACGAGTTTTTGTTTTTTTTTTGCTGTAGGCATTGCTTTAAGATGCAACAAAACTAACTTAAATATCTCACCTCCATCAGGCCCCAGGGCATAGCCACATTTATTCAGTGCCAGAGTGCGCTAGGTGCTGCACCTAAGTAGTGCTGCAATGTTTAATTGATTAAAAGAGGTTTAATTGTTATGATTAGGCACATGCTTCCTAATTAAGCCAGCAAGCTTTTTTTTAAAAAAAAAAAAAACATTGTTTCTGCCTGTTTGCAAGTTCAATCAATACACAGATTAAGATTTGTAGGGTTAATCAATTAAACATGCTTCAATTTTGCTGCAGCCCTTACAAGGTACCATCTGCGCTCACAAAAGGTACACAATTTAAAGAGACCAGAAAAACCACTTCTGAAAAGTCCCAGAAACTTCTGTTAATCACTTAGCTGTGGAAGAGCTCTTGGAAACCTTTCCAGCACTTACCCAAAAGATTTTGTTAGCTTCTTAGTTCCTACTGGTTTGTCGCTATGTTGTAGTTCATAGAACACTCTCTGCAATGCTAAAGGAACACTTTTTGAGGAGTCGTCTCCTTCGGTAGGCATCATATATACAGCCTAAAAAACACATATAAGTTGAGTTTAAAGTCTGCAAACAGGTCCCAATCCTTTTGTTTTTAATGCCATGTCCCAAAGGTGTTTCCCCCCCCCCAAAAGGCAACTGGACTTTGTTTTTCCTTGAAGATGTTTCACTTCTCATCCATGAAGCTTCTTCAATTCATCAGTTCTGATTGAGAACTGAAGAAGCTTATTGCAAAACATCTTCAGGGAAAGACAAAGTCAGTTGCCTTTTGGAAAAAAGCACCTTTGGGACAACCATGACCTGGATGACTGAGAATCTCCAGACATTTTGTCTTTTAATCTAACACCTGGTTCCCTCTGGTGATTTGCTGGCCAATTCAGTTAAATACTTCTGAACAACCTGCTTTGCGATATCCAACAAGTTCACCCAGGCTGCTGACGGTGAAAGGTTGTTTACATCAGACAGTTGATCTTTGAGACCCGAACTACCACCAAACCAGCACCCTGTTTGAGCCTGGGAAAACAGTGCTTAGATTTCACTCAGCTCAATGATATGACATGGGATTAGGGATGGGGGAGTGGAGAAAGGAGTTCCTGAACATATTGCTTTACTTTTGACTTATGTCCAGTCTTTATCCCCACATATCCATGATCCTGGGATGTTGTTATAAAGATGGATCAAATAGACTTCAAACCAGAATTGTTTCTGTTAGGAATAATAGGAGCTAACTATGAGAAGGAGAGCGGATATCTAATATGACATGTATTAACAGCAGCAAGAATTGTATTTGCCCAATATTGGAAAAATGAAAACTTACCAACTGAAGAAGTATTAATTAAAAAAAATTCTAAGAGTGTGCAGAAATGGATAGATTGACTTTAGAGATTAAAGAGAAAGAAAATTCAGTTTACTTTAGAACATGGGATAATTTTTATCAATGACTAGAAAAACGACTCAGAGAGAAAGGAATGTGATATGTAATTTTGAATACATACTAGTAAGAAGGATGACATGGAGTGATTAACTAATATTGTCTAAGATAACTAACCATGTTTATTGTTATCACTTAGTATTATATCTATTATTGTTGTTTAAATATATGTACCCAGACAATATGCTGTTTGCTAAATATTGAAAATGTTACTTGGGGAAACCCCAACCCTGACCTAGACCCCAATCCCAACCCTGACCCCATTTTACCCTTAACCTCATAAAAACTAATAAAACTTTTCAAAAAAGATGGATCATTCGGACTCGCAAGGTTTCACAAATTTCAAACAGGACCCAAGTCCACTGTTAAACAAAACCGGCCATCTGATGGCCACCAAGTCATTCTCACGAAAACCCGAGAGAAATGCCGATTTCTCAGCTCGACTGAGAACCCTCGGCTCCCCCCCTGAGGTCACCCTCTCAACTGCACCATTCCAGTAAAAGGTAAAGGAAGTCACTGCTGACTCTAGTGGGCAATGCTCATCTCCATTTCAAGGCCATTGGGCCAACTATGCCTGAAGATATTTCCACACTAGTGTGGCCAGCATGATGTCACGGAATGCTGTTACTTTCCCACCGAAGTGGTACCTATTTATCTACTTACATACGCATGCTTTCGAACTGCTAGTTGTGCAGGAGCTGGGGCGAGGACGGGAGCTCACCCCTGTCATGTGGCACTCGGCTCTCGAACCTGGGTTGCTGGCTTTCCAGCCGACAAGCCCAGCATCCTAACCGCTGAGCCACCGCACCGCCCTGCACAGTTCTAGGGGAGGAGTTCAAGTGCATCTGAAGAACACCAAGAGACACAGTTGTGCCTAATTCCAATTGAGGCAGTGCCTCAGGCAGGGCTCCTGAAGCGCGAGGCAGACCTTGACTATCTACTCTTGGTCAGATGCTTGTAGAAGTGTGCTGAAGAGGGGATTTCTATGGGATACCCTTTCAAGTCTGAGGGAAAATAAAATCCAGGGCAGCACTTGCTCTCACACTGGCCGATGTGCTCTTTTATCCTATCACACTCACATTTTGCTTTATATGGCAGGCTGAATTGGGTCAAAATTTAGGATAATGTTTGCAATAGATTATGCTGCCCTTCTTCCCTCTTACATAAAGCCATACAAGATATTATGAGTAGGATAAGTATGCTTTGCAATCTCCTAACTGTGCTCTACAAAATAAAATGGAAAATTTCTGTCTGCAGAAGGTTCTGGGAAGCGATGAGAACAACCGTGGACCTATACCAAGGGCCCTAAGGAGATTAACAGGTGAAATTGCAAAAAGTAAAATTATGCGTGACTTAATTGATGAACAGAACCCAATAATTCTGCTATGCTATCTAAATAAGCCTAAACAGGTCAAAAGAAGATCAACCAGGCTCACGTTTGACTGTTCAACGAAATACTCTTAGCAAATTCCCCCCCCCAAAAAAATCAGCCCCCTTTTTTAAAATCCTGCTTATAAGGGTGGCACATTTACAGAGACCTGAAAGACAAGGATGGGAGCAGTGAAGAGCACATGACCAGGGGAACAGGACTTATTTTTTATCTGTTTATTAATTAAATTTCTGTACCGCCCATCACACTTGCTGAATAGCCTTAAACAGTATGAGATTCATACTGGCTCTCCTTTAATAGGTTTAAGGCCAGGGAAAAATGGGCAAAATATAGAAAACTAAGATAACTTGAGCCCACATTTATTAGTGAATATGTTAATGCAGGATCTCTGTGGGCTGTCTGAATTTCTTTCTTACTGAAGTCCTACTTGACAAACTGATGCCGTGCTTAAGAAGAGGCGAAATGGAAATGCCCATCGGCTTCTGGTTTTTCAGATTTCTCCCCAAGGTTCCAAGAAGTCCAGGTTGATTTTCTTCCTGGTTCTCAGGAACAGCTGTCTGCAATCTGACACTTCCAAAGTATTGGACTCTGGTTCCAGCCGCCCACAGCCAAAAAAGGCCAAAGGAACTATCTGGGGTAATTAGTTTGCAAAAGCTGTCCTAGAGGTTGACTTTGTTGTTTCCTATCTAAGATCAAAGAACTAGAGATGGCAAATAGAGTGCTTTAAAAATGTAGGGCAGGTGGCTCTCTTTTGGTACAATGCCTAAACAACCAAGGCCCCCTCATTATTAACTGGAAAGATAATAACAAACCAAAATATAAAGCTTTCTGGGTATAAGTTGGGGGGAAAAAGGGTAGGGTGGTTTGGCACTTTTAGGGGCATAAAAACCCAAGAAAAACATATTCTTTGCTAGACTAAAGCACTCTAAATAAGGAAATAGAACAGCTGAGTGGGAGAAGGTAATTTGACCTGTTTGCTTTCCTCAAGTGTATGAGTGGAGCAACCATGAAAATCCAAGCACTTTTCCTTATTGTGCTTCTGAGGGATCAAAGTCTCTGGGCTGAAAGAATCCGTGGAAGTTCCTGAAACTGGTTTATGACAGCATTTCCTGCTACCTCAGACATTCACATTGGGGGGGGGGGGGGCGGTGTCTTCAAGATCAAAAGCTCTCAAAAGACTCGTCCTCCATAAAATTTATTCTAACAGGTTCTAAAGCCATCCAAGCCAATGGCCATGATTTGTGGTGAAGAGAATCCCATAGGATAAAAGAGTTTGCATGAAGTTGTGCTTCCTTTTATCTATTCTAATTCTTCCACCGTAGCCCGTTCTGGTTCTAATGTCTGGAATAAGTCCAAAAGGACCTCTATCTGTCCACTTTCGTTACGCCACAGGTGATTTTAAAATGCCTCAAGACCTTTGGGGCATTCTGACAAACCAAGTCAATGGGGAAGCCAGATTCACTTAAGAACCACGTGACTAATTTAAGAACTGCAGGGATTCGTTTAACAGCTGCGTCAAGAAAAGTTACACGGGGCAAAACTCACTTCACAACTGTCTCACTTAGCAACATAAATTTTGGGCTCAACTGTGGTCGTACGTTGAGGACTATCTATAAAGGCCTTCAAATATTCCAGCCTTGCCTCACAGAGATATTTCAGCTCCCTGATCATTCTGCCTCTCTCATCTGCACTTTTTTGTGCTCTTTTCTTTCAAATGTGGAGATCTTATTGCATTCGTCACAGTAACTTAGTAAACTCAATCATGGGAGTATGGATGGGCTCCAGGCGTAGAAAAAAAAAAAAGACACCAATAACATAAACATTTCCTTCTTAACTCCAAATACAGGTAGTCCTCAACGTGCAACTGTTCATTTAGTGACCGTTCAAAGTTATAATGACACTGAAAAAAGCGACTTATAACCGTTTTCCCCACTTAAGACTGTTGCAGCAACACCATGGTCACATGATCAAAGTTGAGACATTCAGGCAACTGGCTCATATTTATGACAACAGCCATGTCCCGGGGTCATGTGATCCCCTTTTGTGACCTTTGGCCAAGCAAAGTCAATAGGGAAGCCAGATTCACTTAACAAACCGGGTTACCTATTTAACAACTGCAGTGATTCACTTAAGAACTACGGCAAGAAAGGTCGTAAAGTGGGGCAAAGCTCACTTAACAAATGTTGTCTCACTTAGCAACAGAAAATTTGGGCTCAATTGTGGTTGTTAAGTCAAGGACTCCCTGCAGGGGGTGGATGGAGAGAAAACATCCCTTTCAGGAGCTCTTCACAGAAAAAAAGAACATCTCAGACAAGTTTTTACAATAAAAGATGGCTTTTCCTACCAGCTAGCATTTATCCTTTCTGTAAAGTCTGAAGAAAACTTAAAACCCTGAGCAGGAAAAACTCTGGAAGAGGCTTTTTGCTCAAGGAAGAAATCTAACTTAAAACCTAGAGACAAAATTCACAATGAAACAAAATTCAAACAGCAGCCCAGTTAATGCCGTTTGTCTGAATAGGGAACATGGGAGCTCGTGTCCACAATGGCATTGGGCGGCTCTGGGACGCAGTTTTATCAGCGATAAAATGGCACTGCCCTCTTCCTTTCACTTATTTGAATCTCCATCATCTTTGCTGCTGCTTCGCAGTGCTTGGAAAAGCCTTGCTTGTATGCACGAGTCACAAGACGAAGTCTATGATGACTGTGCACAATCGCACGCCTCTTAATAGCAGGGCTGTCTCCATTACATAAAGAGAATGCTATCAGTAGGGAGAAGAAGAAGAAGAAAAAAATACTCCAGCACAAAGCAAACGGGAACTTCAAATTAAGATTCCAAGGTGAGGTAACCACAAATATGGCATCTTGTAAGTGTCACCAGTAAGCTCAAATGCAGAAGCTACTGAAATAAATCCTAATGTTTTTTTTTCTCCAATGCAATACATAACAATACTGGTCAGCAGCAAAAGTCTTTAAGATAAAGATAAGATAACCTTTATTGTCACTTTTTCTGTATACACACTGGCACACGATAAAAATGACATTCTGATGCTCTGTCTCAAAAGAATACATATATATATATATTTAGGTAGGTAAGCAGGCAGGTAGTAATGGTGGATGGATGGATGGATGGACAGACAGATACACATACCATACCCATAGACACATATACATGCTGTATGTTTTTTATGTATACACACACACACATACACAAATATATATGAATCACAGTCCATGTCGAATACATATTTACCTTTCGCAGTTGGTTTGTGAAAAATAATGTCTGTAACAAACTGTTCATGTAGCAGGTTGCACCCTGGTTCTTCAGCCCCACATATCCTGTGTGCTTCTTGGAGTCCCATCTGGAATATTCATAGAATTGGGATATAAGAATTGCACCTAGACACATTTTACACACTCATANTAACCAGGTCCGATGCCATGGAGCGCTTTAAAGATAATAATCAGCACCTTGAAGCGCACCCGGAAGGCCACCGGCAGCCAATGCAGCTCGCGCAAAAGCGGCGTGACGTGGGAGCGACGAGTCCCTCCCAACACCGCCCACGCGGCCGCATTTTGAACTAGCTGGAGCCTCCGGGTGCTCCTCAAGGGAAGCCCCATGTGTATGGTGTTAGGATCCCTTCCATCAAGCAAGGTCATCCGCAGCCAAGGGGGAAAAGACTACGTTCCCTTAGCTGTTAAGAATGTCCTATGCCACAAATTCATTGTTACTTTAAAGCAGGGGTAGGGAGCCATGCTGGCTCAGGAATTCTGGGAGTTGAAGTCCACAAGTCATAAAAGGGCCACGGTTCCCCACCCCTGCTTTAAAGTAATGAATGGCAACTACTTCCCCCTGTGAATCAGACCTGCTCCTTTCTGCCTTCAGGTGATGCTCAAGAATGACAGGATGTTGATAACAGGCTGTTAAGGACTTCAGAACGAGGTTTTTTTTTTTTTTTTTTGCTGTAGGCATTGCTTTAAGATGCAACAAAACTAACTTAAATTACTCACCTCCATCAGGCCCCAGGGCATAGCCACATTTATTCAGTGCCAGAGTGCGCTAGGTGCTGCACCTAAGTAGTGCTGCAATGTTTAATTGATTAAAAGAGGTTTAATTGTTATGATTAGGCACATGCTTCCTAATTAAGCCAGCAAGCTTTTTTTTTTTAAAAAACCCATTGTTTCTGCCTGTTTGCAAGTTCAATCAATACACAGATTAAGATTTGTAGGGTTAATCAATTAAACATGCTTCAATTTTGCTGCAGCCCTTACAAGGTACCATCTGCATTCACAAAAGGTACACAATTTAAAGAGACCAGAAAAACCACTTCTGAAAAGTCCCAGAAACTTCTGTTAATCACTTAGCTGTGGAAGAGCTCTTGGAAACCTTTCCAGCACTTACCCAAAAGATTTTGTTAGCTTCTTAGTTCCTACTGGTTTGTCGCTATGTTGTAGTTCATAGAACACTCTCTGCAATGCTAAAGGAACACTTTTTGAGGAGTCGTCTCCTTCGGTAGGCATCATATATACAGCCTAAAAAAGACATATAAGTTGAGTTTAAAGTCTGCAAACAGGTCCCAATCCTTTTGTTTTTAATGCCATGTCCCAAAGGTGTTTCCCCCCCCCAAAGGCAACTGGACTTTGTTTTTCCTTGAAGATGTTTCACTTCTCATCCATGAAGCTTCTTCAATTCTTCAGTTCTGATTGAGAACTGAAGAAGCTTATTGCAAAACATCTTCAGGGAAAGACAAAGTCAGTTGCCTTTTGGAAAAAAGCACCTTTGGGACAACCATGACCTGGATGACTGAGAATCTCCATAGACATTTTGTCTTTTAATCTAACACCTGGTTCCATCTGGTGATTTGCTGGCCAATTCAGTTAAATACTTCTGAACAACCTGCTTTGCGATATCCAACAAGTTCACCCAGGCTGCTGACAGTGAAAGGTTGTTTACATCAGACAGTTGATCTTTGAGACCCGAACTACCACCAAACCAGCACCCTGTTTGAGCCTGGGAAAACAGCGCTTAGATTTCACTCAGATCAATGATATGACATGGGATTAGGGATGGGGGAGTGGAGAAAGGTGTTCCTGAACAAGACTGCCTTTCATATTGCTTTACTTTTGACTTATGTCCAGTCTTTATCCCCACATATCCATGATCCTGGGATGTTGTTATAAAGATGGATCAAATAGACTTCAAACCAGAATTGTTTCTGTTAGGAATAATAGGAGCTAACTATGAGAAGGAGAGCGGATATCTAATATGACATGTATTAACAGCAGCAAGAATTGTATTTGCCCAATATTGGAAAAATGAAAACTTACCAACTGAAGAAGTATTAATTAAAAAAAATTCTAAGAGTGTGCAGAAATGGATAGATTGACTTTAGAGATTAAAGAGAAAGAAAATTCAGTTTACTTTAGAACATGGGATAATTTTTATCAATGGCTAGAAAAACGACTCAGAGAGAAAGGAATGTGATATGTAATTTTGAATACATACTAGTAAGAAGGATGACATGGAGTGATTAACTAATATTGTCTAAGATAACTAACCATGTTTATTGTTATCACTTAGTACTATATCTATTATTGTTGTTTAAATATATGTACCCAGACAATATGCTGTTTGCTAAATATTGAAAATGTTACCTGGGGAAACCCCAACCCTGACCTAGACCCCAATCCCAATCCTGACCCCATTTTACCCTTAACCTCATAAAAACTAATAAAACTTTTCAAAAAAGTTTCACAAATTTCAAACAGGACCGAAGTCCACTGTTAAACAAAACCAGCCATCTGATGGCCACCAAGTCATTCTCACGAAAACCCGAGAGAAATGCCGATTTCTCAGCTCGACTGAGAACCCTCGGCTCCCCCCCTAAGGTCACCCTCTCAACTGCACCATTCCAGTAAAAGGTAAAGGAAGTCACTGCTGACTCTAGTGGGCAATGCTCATCTCCGTTTCAAGGCCATTGGGCCAACTATGCCTGAAGATATTTCCACACTCGTGTGGCCAGCATGATGTCACGGAATGCTGTTACTTTCCCACCGAAGTGGTACCTATTTATCTACTTACATACGCATGCTTTCGAACTGCTAGTTGTGCAGGAGCTGGGGCGAGGACGGGAGCTCACCCTGCCATGTGGCACTCGGCTCTCGAACCTGGGTTGCTGGCTTTCCAGCCGACAAGCCCAGCATCCTAACCGCCGAGCCACCCCACCGCCCTGCACAGTTCTAGGGGAGGAGTTCAAGTGCATCTGAAGAACACCAAGAGACACAGTTGTGCCTAATTCCAATTGAGGCAGTGCCTCAGGCAGGGCTCCTGAAGCGCGAGGCAGACCTTGACTATCTAACTCTTGGTCAGATGCTTGTAGAAGTGTGCTGAAGAGGGGATTTCTATGGGATACCCTTTCAAGTCTGAGGGAAAATAAAATCCAGGGCAGCACTTGCTCTCACACTGGCCGATGTGCTCTTTTATCCTATCACACTCACATTTTGCTTTATATAGCAGGCTGAATTGGGTCAAAATTTAGGATAATGTTTGCAATAGATTATGCTGCCCTTCTTCCCTCTTACATAAAGCCATACAAGATATTATGAGTAGGATAAGTATGCTTTGCAATCTCCTAACTGTGCTCTACAAAATAAAATGGAAAATTTCTGTCTGCAGAAGGTTCTGGGAAGCGATGAGAACAACCGTGGACCTATACCAAGGGCCCTAAGGAGATTAACAGGTGAAATTGCAAAAAGTAAAATTATGCGTGACTTAATTGATGAGCAGAACCCAATAATTCATAGAGAAACTGCTATGCTATCTAAATAAGCCTAAACAGGTCAAAAGAAGATCAACCAGGCTCACGTTTGACTGTTCAACGAAATACTCTTAGCAAATTTCCCCCCCCCCAAAAAAAATCAGCCCCCTTTTTTAAAATCCTGCTTATAAGGGTGGCACATTTACAGAGACCTGAAAGACAAGGATGGGAGCAGTGAAGAGCACATGACCAGGGGAACAGGACTTATTTTTTATCTGTTTATTAATTAAATTTCTGTACCGCCCATCACACTTGCTGAATAGCCTTAAACAGTATGAGATTCATACTGGCTCTCCTTTAATAGGTTTAAGGCCAGGGAAAAATGGGCAAAATATAGAAAACTAAGATAACTTGAGCCCACATTTATTAGTGAATATGTTAATGCAGGATCTCTGTGGGCTGTCTGAATTTCTTTCTTACTGAAGTTCTACTTGACAAACTGATGCCGTGCTTAAGAGGCGAAATGGAAATGCCCATCGGCTTCTGGTTTTTCAGATTTCTCCCCAAGGTTCCAAGAAGTCCAGGTTGATTTTCTTCCTGGTTCTCAGGAACAGCTGTCTGCAATCTGACACTTCCAAAGTATTGGACTCTGGTTCCAGCCGCCCACAGCCAAAAAAGGCCAAAGGAACTATCTGGGGTAATTAGTTTGCAAAAGCTGTCCTAGAGGTTGACTTTGTTGTTTCCTATCTAAGATCAAAGAACTAGAGATGGCAAATAGAGTGCTTTAAAAATGTAGGGCAGGTGGCTCTCTTTTGGCACAATGCCTAAACAACCAAGGCCCCCTCATTATTAACTGGAAAGATAATAACAAACCAAAATATAAAGCTTTCTGGGTATAAGTTGGGGGGGAAAAGGGTAGGGTGGTTTGGCACTTTTAGGGGCATAAAAACCCCAAGAAAAACGTATTCTTTGCTAGACTAAAGCACTCTAAATAAGGAAATAGAACAGTTGAGTGGGAGAAGGTAATTTGAACTGTTTGCTTTCCTCAAGTGTATGAGTGGAGCAACCATGAAAATCCAAGCACTTTTCCTTATTGTGCTTCTGAGGGATCAAAGTCTCTGGGCTGAAAGAATCCGTGGAAGTTCCTGAAACTGGTTTATGACAGCATTTCCTGCTACCTCAGACATTCACATTGGGGGGGGGGGGGGCGGTGTCTTCAAGATCAAAAGCTCTCAAAAGACTCGTCCTCCATAAAATTTATTCTAACAGGTTCTAAAGCCATCCAAGCCAATGGCCATGATTTGTGGTGAAGAGAATCCCATAAGATAAAAGAGTTTGCATGAAGTTGTGCTTCCTTTTATCTATTCTAATTCTTCCACCGTAGCCCGTTCTGGTTCTAATGTCTGGAATAAGTCCAAAAGGACCTCTATCTGTCCACTTTCGTTACACCACAGGTGATTTTAAAATGCCTCAAGACCTTTGGGGCATTCTGACAAACCAAGTCAATGGGGAAGCCGGATTCACTTAAGAACCACGTGACTAATTTAAGAACTGCAGGGATTCGTTTAACAGCTGTGTCAAGAAAAGTTACACGGGGCAAAACCCACTTCACAACTGTCTCACTTAGCAACAGAAAATTTGGGCTCAATTGTGGTTGTTAAGTCAAGGACTCCCTGCAGGGGGTGGATGGAGAGAAAACATCCCTTTTAGGAGCTCTTCACAGAAAAAAAGAACATCTCAGACAAGTTTTTACAATAAAAGATGGCTTTTCCTACCAGCTAGCATTTATCCTTTCTGTAAAGTCTGAAGAAAACTTAAAACCCTGAGCAGGAAAAACTCTGGAAGAGGCTTTTTGCTCAAGGAAGAAATCTAACTTAAAACCTAGAGACAAAATTCACAATGAAACAAAATGCAAACAGCAGCCCAGTTAACGCCGTTTGTCTGAATAGGGAACATGGGAGCTCGTGTCCACAATGGCATTGGGCGGTTCTGAGACGCAGTTTTATCAGCGATAAAATGGCACTGCCCTCTTCCTTTCACTTATTTGAATCTCCATCATCTTTGCTGCTGCTTCGCAGTGCTTGGAAAAGCCTTGCTTGTATGCACGAGTCACAAGACGAAGTCTATGATGACTGTGCACAATCGCACGCCTCTTAATAGCAGGGCTGTCTCCATTACATAAAGAGAATGCTATCAGTAGGGAGAAGAAGAAGAAGAAAAAATACTCCAGCACAAAGCAAACGGGAACTTCAAATTAAGATTCCAAGGTGAGGTAACCACAAATATGGCATCTTGTAAGTGTCACCAGTAAGCTCAAATGCAGAAGCTACTGAAATAAATCCTAATGTTTTTTTTTCTCCAATGCAACACATAACAATATTGGTCAGCAGCAAAAGTCTTTAAGATAAAGATAAGATAACCTTTATTGTCACCTTTTCTGTATACACACTGGCACACGATAAAAATGACATTCTGATGCTCTGTCTCAAAAGAATACATATATATATTTAGGTAGGTAAGCAGGCAGGTAGTAATGGTGGATGGATGGACAGACAGATACACATACCATACCCATAGACACATATACATGCTGTATGTTTTTTATGTATACACACACACACATACACAAATATATATGCATCACAGTCCATGTCGAATACATATTTACCTTTCGCAGTTGGTTTGTGAAAAATAATGTCTGTAACAAACTGTTCATGTAGCAGGTTGCACCCTGGTTCTTCAGCCCCACATATCCTGTGTGCTTCTTGGAGTCCCATCTGGAATATTCATAGAATTGGGATATAAGAATTGCACCTAGACACATTTTACACACTCATACACATAGAAACTTGGTTTCCATCCCTGAAATCCAGCTGGTTTAAATTTAACTGTCAGCAAATCACACATCTGTTATGGAGCAATTAGGATAATAGTACACATGTTCAGAATTCTGAAATCTTTTCAAGATTTCGAACAAAGCAACAATAACAAAAAGAGAAATTAAAAACAAAGATATAGCAATTTCCAAAGAAAAAGTCACATGTCTGAAAAATGAAAGCTGCTTAGAAGCTATGCTTCTGTAAAATGGAGTTGCCTGAAACTGAATTATTGAATATACCGCCCAAATTTATGATAAGCAACCAAGTCTATTACCAATTCTACTTATGGCCACAACTGAGCCCAAATTTTCTTTTGCTAAGTTAATCATTTGTTAAGTGAATTTTGCCCCATTTTACAACCTTTCTTCACACATTTGTAAAGTGAATCACTGCAGTCACTAAGTTAATAACATGTTGGCAAGTGAAATTTGGCTTCCCCGTTGACTTTGCTTGTCAAAAGGTTGCAAAAGATGAACACGTGACCCCGGGACGCTGCAACCGTCATAAATGTGAACCAGCTGTCAAGTGTCTGAGTGTAGATCACGTGACCATGGGGATGCCACAGCGGTCGTAAGTGTGAAAAACAGTGCTATGTCACTTTTTTCAGTACTGCTGTAACTTTGAACTGTCACTAAATAACTGTTGTAAGTCGAGGATTACCTGTACAACCAGTTCCTCTGGGAGGAGGAGGATTGCTGTATAGACAAACTGAGACCTAGATTGGAGGAACCGCTTAAGAAAACCTGCCTCCTGAAGTTGTGGGTGTTTCATCACTGGAGGCTTTCAGGAAAAGAGTGAACAGCCATTTGTCTAGATCAGGGGTAGGCAACCTTGGCCCCTTCATGACTGGTGGACTTCAACTCCCAGAATTCCTCAGCCAGCATGGCTCAGCTTGGAAACCTCTCCCTTTCCCCTCAGCATGGCTGGCTCAGGAATTCTGGGAGTTGAAGTCCACAAGTCATAAAAGAGCCAAGGTTGCCTACCCCTGGTCTAGATGGTATGAGGATTCCTGCACTGGTACGCTTGTGTGTGTGTGTGTGTGTGTGTGCGCGCGCATGTGTGTGTGTATGTGTGTGTATATCCCTCCTAGAAGAACTTGAAGGTCTTTCCAAGAAACCAACTCCATGTGAAGGAAGAGCCTGTAATTATAATCCCTCCTTCTTCCATTTTATGTCAGTTCCTTAGATAGGGATTGTTTGTTAAACTTGCTAACCAATGTATTAGGCAAGTATTACATGTGAGAATGTGAGAAACGGTATGCATGATTAAGGTGTAGGACTTTGACTTGGTGAAAGAAATTTAAGGTAGAAAAATGTGAGTTTTTCCTCTCTTAGCTCCACAATTAAAGAAATTGTAACATTTCTTAGAAATAACTCGTAAGTCTGAAAAGGAAAAACTGCAAAGGAAAAAGTTAAGCAAACGACTTTTTCCCCTCAAAGAAACAAAAAGAGCAAAGGCTACTTACGCTACACCATGAGGCGCATCAGCTTGAACATAAACTTCAAAAGTTACTTTATCATCTTCTATATAGCCTTTATCTGGATCAGTAACTTCCTGCCAAAAAGAAAACGAAAGGAGCAAATGATTGAACCAAGAACATCAAAACCCTGGTCAGTCCCAAGTAGCCATTCTTAAAAGGTCATATTTCAGTCTGAAGCTCAAGTCAATATAAACATACATCAGTTTTTACCACTGAGCTCAAATGATACAGGGATGTCTCAAGCTGTCAACAGATGGCCATTTCTATAAATCAGGGGTGTCAAACTCAATTTCATTGAGGGCCGCATCAGCACTGCGGTTGCCGGGGGGTGGTGGTGGCCAGGGTGGGGGTGGCCTACTGGGTGGGCATGGCCAGCTCTACATTGTTCGCATCAAGGGTGCCTGTGGGGGCCTGGGCAGGCGTGGGACAGATCTGAGGGTCTCTGGCAGAAGGGGGTGGGACCGGGGCAAGCGCCAAGGCATGGTCCATTTCTTCATTCCTCACAAAGGGTGACACCTCCCCAGCATGCACCCAGGGGGCAGGGCCGACGCGGCAGGGGCTGGTTCCTCGGTGTTTCCAGACGGCTTTGTGGAGCTAAGACTGAATGCGTTTCAGCATAGATGGCACCACAAAATTGTACATTGGCTCCTGGCCGGCCTGGGCCAAGGCAGTGGGGGCCATTCCCTCACTGTTTCCAGGATGGCTTCACGGGCCACATGAAACCACTTCGTGGCCGGGGCCTTGTGTTTGACATGTCTGCTATAAATCAACAGAAGCCACTGATAGCTGCACAACTGCAAACACAATTAGCTGGGAGGCAAGGAGGACTGACTGGGAGCAACTTCTTCTATTACAGCATCTGAAGCTGCTTCTTGTTTCTTCCTGATCTACAGAGCTGAGAGGGTATTCGTGAACAAACTAGTCTTTGATGTCAGGATGCTTTAATGAGACTCATAACGTCTGCTGGATTGTCTGGCAATCTAACTCCAAGGATTTCAGTTCTGAAAAATTACTTTAGGCTAAGAGGGGAGGGAAGATAAGGTAGCCAAGCTAACCACAACTCCACTTCAACTTCGGCCTGGGTTGTGATGTGTTCTAGTCCAGGGGTCTCCAACCTTGGCAACTTCCATCCAATCTGGAATGAGCCAACTTGCCGCAGGAAAACTCACTGCAGCCAATTCGCCAGGGGACAATTCAAATTAACTATTGAAATATTAATTAAAAAATATTCTAGTGTTCGTCATTCACATTTCATTTTGTCCCTTATTTGGCATCCCTTTTTCATGATTCTATTCCACCATTTCTTCAATATTACAACTCTTATCCTGCAGTGAGTTAGCTGGCCTGTGGCGAGTTGTCCTAGACCCCATCCAACATGCCACGCCTCCCTCCCCCCCCCCAAGTGGCAAGCAGTTACTTACACTCCAAGACATAAAATTGGAAAAGCCCCAATCGTTTTCCTTATGAAAGAACAAGTGGCTGATGCGACGACTGAAAGACTTCTCATCGTCCTTGTAATTTATTATCTTGAGGACTGCCTGCGCATGACAAGACCATGACCTGCAACAATTAGAGAGATAGCACTTGACACACTGTGCTGCAGAAAAGCCACTCATAAATTACATTTTACTGAGTAAGCCTCTTCATTTCTTCTCACTCCTGGATGTAAAACTTTCCTCCGGTAACCTCTCAGGAATGGTAGCCATTATTAATATCCTGGAAGCAATTTATGAAAAGCTTCTCCCTTTTAACAAAGCTGTTTATTTTATTTCATTTTTTAATGTCTTCCCACATAAATTTTCCATCTCGTTTGATTATTTTCTTCTACAGATGGTTAAAAATGTTACTCCTTTCAAGCATCAACATATCTCCTCGAAAACTTGTATTTCTATTGACTAATAGCAAATCATAATAATAATAAAAAAATTAAAAATCACACAGAAAAATAATCTGTTCATTTAATGGGAACATTAAATTGCATTTAGTGGGAATATGAAAAATTAATCCTACTTAGGTGAAACTTTGAGTGTAAATTCACAAATAATGTGAAAGTAAATTCCACACTTGCTTCCTACTGTTTTCAACTTTTGATTTTATCTCAAAGTCCAGCCTCCAGAGAATAAAAGGAAGTAAGTAGTCAAGATAAGTAGTCAAAATATTCAAGGAATTGGATCGCTCACTTTGTATCCTATTCTGTCTTGTTAGAACTGCAAGGCTTAAAATGTAAATAAGTAAAATTGAACAACCAGCTAAATAAATACATGGCAATCATTTAATTTTTTTCAGGAATTTTTATTTTCTTCATAGCTCAAAACCATACCTGCCAAAACTATGGCGATTTAAGCTTTATATTTTAAATGAAAGGACAAAAGGGGAATTCTCTAATTTAACCTTCCTGTCTGCTGAAGATCTTCTACATCAGTGGTTCTCAACCTTTTTAATGCCGCGACCCCCAACCGGTCGTAAGTCGAGGACTAAACCGGTCGTAAGTCGAGAACTAAATTGGTCGTAAGTCGAGGACTTTCCCTGCCCGGGAGCGCCGCGCATGCGTGGTTCCGCCCCCTGCGCCGGCCGAGGCGTAGCTGGCAAGCGGCAGAGACGGAGCAGGCCGACCACCAGCTGGCCCAGCTCAAGGGAGGTAAGGCATCCGCCGGAAAAGGGGAAAAAAATGGCGGACAGCCTTGCTTGGCGACCCCCGTGAAATGGTCGATCGACCCCAAATGGGGTCGCGACCCATAGGTTGAGAACCGCTGTTCTACATTTAACTACTGTCCTTATGAAAATTGTAGCCGTCAAATATTTCGACACAAACAGGTCATTCTGCAGAGATGCATTCACTACTAATATCTCTCATCAGAATTATCTGCATTCATTTATCCAACCTAAAATTTAGTGTAGTGCATCTTTACATGGTTGTGTTTACTGTAAAAAAAATTAATACTTATTTTCATTTAAGGTCCAGATTAACCATTTGTAAAGGTTGTGGGAAAGTATTTACGTTCCCAGTGATTGAGGGTTACCTTATTAATTGGTGTCTATAAATGTAAGAATCAGTTATCGTTATCATTTTCCTCAATAGTTAAGATTAACAATTCAGAACACTGATTTCCACCCCGAAATCTGGACCAGTGTTTCTCAACCTTGGCAACTTGAAGATGGGTGGATTTCAACTCCCAAAATTCCCCAGCCAGCCATGGCTGACTGGAGAATGTTGGAAGTTGAAGTCCACCCATCTTCAAGTTGCCAAGGTTGAGAAACACTGGTCTGGACTGAATCAAGTCACTGTTCTCTGAGGCTACCAACATTGTAACCAACATTCAACTTTCGGAAGTGACAAATAAGTCCTCTGTATGTCTGGAAGTTGAGTCATGGCAACTGGACTTCTTTTCTGTCTGGTTGGAAACATTTCACGGCTCATCAACGTAGCTTCTTCTTGGATCTGCCTGCATAAGCAGGGGAACATTTCAAACCAAAAAGGAATGAAATCCGCTTGACTCAACTGCCAGACAAGTCTGGATGGCTGAGAATCTTCATCGACATACTTCCTCTGAATATATTTATTTATTTATTAAATTTATATACCGCCCTATCTCCCTTACGGGACTCAGGGCGGTGAACAGGCGATACTAAAAACCACAATAATAAATAAATAGTTTCTGTTCTAAAATCAAATTAAATAACAGGTCTGCTCTAAAAACACCCCATACAAAAACCCCCACTAAAACATAATCAAACTACGCCAGGCCGGCCGCACGGAATAGATGGGCCTTCAGGGCTCGGCGAAAAAGGCGCAGGTCCGCAACTGTATGTAGGTCGGGGGGTAGGTCATTCCAGAGGGGCACTGTTCCATCTACAGCACTGTTCCCATTTGGCCCCTGCCTGCTGATGCCCCAGGCTGGATGTATTATCTCCTACCGGGCAACAGATCCACGTGCAGAAGATTTTTAAGGTGCTGCATTCAAGAGAGGTGCCGTACTTTATCAATTCATAAAGGGACTTACGTAGAATCGGACTCAGCGTTGCACTGAAGAAAGAATCCTACGCTCTTTTGGTGTGGCCGGTCTGGGTAAAGCCGTGGCATCACCATGATCTTCCAGGGCAGGTTCCGCACAAAACAGGGGGGGCTCAGGACCGACTCGCTCAGCCGATTGAATCGCTCAACCGTGAACTGAAACGTCGCCTCTGACCGCCAGCTTGTGTCTGCAAAATAAGGGAAGAAGTGTTCCGAGAGTCTGCGGCCTCAGCCGTGGGACTCCAACAAGAGAATTTAGACCCGTTGAACATCACCGGTGCAGTAGTCCTTGAATTATGACCTGTCGCTCGGGACTGTCCAAAGTTACGATAAAAAGGTACATATCACCGGGATTCAAAGTTCTGGTGGCTGGCTGCAGCCACACGATCGCATGTTGGGTGCTCGGCAACTGGCCTGCCTTCACAGCCGTTTGCCGCATCTCACAGGTCACGTGACTGGTTTGCAATGGTTTTTTTTGGGGGGGGGGCAGGACACTACAACCGTCGTCAATATGAGCCAGTTACCAAGTGTCCAAATTTTGATCATGTGACCATGGGAATGGTGAAAAGGGTTATGAAAAGCGGTCATGAATCCCATTTTTAATGCTGTTGTGATTTTGAATGGTCACTAAATGAACTGCTGTAAGCTGAGGACTACCTATATACAGACAGAGACAGAGACGGGGAGGGGGGGAGGTAGGACATGCCTCTATGAAAGCTTTACAACTTGTAGGTTTTTATCCTGCTGCATCATTACAGACATAATAAGCTTTCTAGTATAAATATGATTTTTTAAAAATAACATACACTTGTACAGTAATATGGCTGCTAGCTAAACCATTTCTGCCATGATTTAGGTTCACTTACCGAAGGCTACCAAAAACTCCAGCACATTGGAAATGAGGAAGACATGAGTCAGCTTCCAAAACATCACACACATTGTTTAGGTAAATCAGGAGTTATTTTAATTTGAACTCTGTGGCACTTTTTTAGGAAATAGAGTAACTGGTCATAATGCAAACTTCAATAAATGTAATAATGCAGGGGTCTTCAAACTTGGCCCTTTGATGACTTGTGGACTTCAACTCCCAGAATTCCTCAGCCAGGCACGGAAGTTAATCTAAAATTATCTTGTTATTCTTATGTTATTTAGTGAACAAAGATTACTCTTTCTTGCAGGTACATATAGTAACAATAAACAGCGTTATTTAGAATAAGTGTAAGCAATGCTATCTTAAAGCCTGGTTATTTATACAAATATTTCAATCTTAATTTGTGTTGCTTAATGCACTTTAGTTTATTTTATTGGCTTTATAACGCCCCTTGTTTTGTATCTATTGAAGTGCCATACCTGTTTTACTGATAAAAGTAACAAATACTTTAATTCTAAAATTCATTCTTTTTTCATTCTACAGCACAAAATGTACTTACTAAAATAAACTACTTGCACAAACCATAGATACAGTGTGCTGTTATTATATTTTCCTTTTAAAAGCAATAGCATAATTTGTTTTTTTAAAAAGAATAAGTATTTTATTTTTAAGTTGTATATTTCTTTAAAGTTTATCAAATCAAAGCTGCAAACAACTGAGACACTCAGATTCTTGAAAAAGCAATAATGAAAATTTTGTAACTAAAAAAAAAATATAGCACTTAAGACTTATATACCAGCCCACAATCCTTTACAGCCTTCTCTAAGCGGTTTACAGAGTCAGCTATTGCCCCCAACAATCTGGGTCCTCATTTTACCGACCTCGGAAGGATGGAAGGCTGAGTCAACCTGGAGCCGGTCAGGATCGAACACCTGGCAGTGGGCAGTGAGTTAACCTGCAATACTGCAATCTAACCACTCTTGCTTCTACTTCTTGGCATACAAAATATTGTATATTGGCTAATCATCCTATCAATTATTAGTTAATTGTAAGCTATTCAAGAGTTCATTAGTAACATCTGATGATATTCTATTGGATCAATGTTTCCCAAGATATTATCAGCAAAAATGCTTGGTTTGGAAAACTTTAAATCTGTTCCCTGGGTAGAATACCTATTCTTTGTTTTGCCTCATCTATGTGCACAACCACATGATAGCTATTGTGAAGAGAAATTCGGTCTACTAAAAAACATGTGTAATTTTTTTAAATAAGTGAAAAATAAGTAGAAAATGGTAAAAGTCAAGAACACAACAAAATTGTACAATATTTGGGACGTTAAAAATAAGAAAAGCAATGACAGACTGATGAATAGTGGGAGATTCTGAACAGTTAAAATGAAACAATTCTCCACACAGCACATGACATTTAGCATGTCCAACTGCAATGAATTCTACAAGTTGTTTATCCATCATGTAGGGAAGTATTTTGTTTTCTCTACTCGAAATCTACCATTAATTCAATTTCATAATTCTGGGTTATGAAAGAGGAAGAAAACTTTTACCTGTTTTGGCTGTGATTTGTTCTCCAAGCTCGTTTTAATATAGTTCCTGAACATTTCGTTACCAAACTAGGTAACCTCATCAGCAGGATTTTCTTGTCCTATTCTCCTTAGCTTATTCACAGCCAAAATCTAAAACCCGAGCTACAAGTACTTTCCATTATTTCGACTTTATCTGTTTTATCCACAAGTGACACCTTCAATGTTTCAGAAGTTTCCTTCCCCAGGTAGGTCTCAGTAACTAGCATATCATCCCCCAGGGACTACTTGCTGAAGAAAACAAAACCAGCTTTCCACATCACCACCAAACTGAGAGCAAGTTAACTCACCATCTTCCATGTCTTCTTCTGTGTTATTGTGACCATCAGCCATGGCTACATTCCCATTGATGACTGGATTTGGGGTAATTCTTGGTGGATCATCGGCATCTCCAGCTTTTGAGGACAAAGAAAACAGAAACACACCAATAAATCTGGATTGTGCCAGAAGAGCGGACCAATATATCCAAAGAATGGATAGAGCAACATCTTGATATGCTGGGTTGGCGGTACTAATGTTACCATGTGGAGGGTGGGGTGAGGGCAAGCCAAGGCAGGGGGCAATAGCTAGGGCAACTTTATATATAAATCCAAAAGTTAACAATAGCATTAAATAGCCACACAACTGTAGCACATAATCAATATTCAACTTATTAGTTCACCTGAACTGTCTCTTCATGTACATAAAAGGTAATGAACAGAACCATTTATCAGAAGATAAATAATGTTCGAAAATATTGCCCTTCTAGCTCCTGCTCAAGCTTTTAGCTCAAGCTTCTCCTGCTTGAGCAGGGGGCTGGTCTAGAAGACCTCCAAAGTCCCTTCCAGCTCTATTCTATTCTATTCTATTCTATTCTATTCTATTCTATTCTATTCTATTCTATTCTATTCCATTCCATTCCATTCCATTCCATTCCATTCCATTCCACTCCACTCCACTCCTGCAAATTACATTTCTAGCTTTATCAATCTCCCCTCCATAACATTTCTGTTCATATTAATAAAATACTTCACCTCATTTTTCTGGAAAGTAACCGCAAAGAAGAAAATAATAAACACTGACACAACTTTTTTTTGACAGCCTGTTGCTTCTCATTTTGTTTCTACAATAACCCCAGCTTATTCTTGCAAAAACTACTCAGAATTATTATTAATGTTAAAAGTTGTCCAATCATAGGTTTACACCATTTTTCACCCACCGTGTGATCTGGCAATCAATGTAAAACTAATGTGCTCTTTTCTCCCCATTATATGTCAAGCTTCTAGCCTTCAAAAGATATTCAGCACCCAGGACAGAGCTTTGATGGCCTTCCTTATACAGAACTTATCACCAAAGTTATATTACTACAGGTGCTGACTTCAATGATCATAGGGAAAAACACAGCGCCGAGTGTAAAAAAATTAAAAACAAAAAAACAAAAACAGATGTTGGCTTCAGAGAGTATGCTACGTCTTATGGTAAAACTGTAAAATTTGCTAAGCACATATTTTATGCATTTAAAATGAGTGAGAGTGAGAAGACATAGATGAGGCCTCTAAATCAACATTGTAAAAATGTAGAACCCTTCATTATCCCTACAGCCAAACATACTAACCAACACAAGATTCGTATTTGCCAGGAAGACTGCATAAAGAATTAAACCATCCATATCTTTGTGCTGCCATATTAACACAGTTATTTTTCCCCCAGAAAAATAGAAGAGCCAACTGTACATAAATTATAGTTTGGCCCTTTAGTATTCTTGAGCTGTATCATTAATATTCTTTTTTCCACCACTGACCTATTTTTTTCTGCTTTGAAAAGTTTTCAAAATTACTTGGTTATGCCCTAAAATTTTATTATTTGATGAAGTATCTCCAAAACGTAAAGTCTTATTTTTCCTTACAGTAATAGAAGTAATGGATTTCGTTTTTAATTCACAATTTGTTAAGACAGTAACTAATTTTTCATTATTCTTACAAAGGAATGCCATTTTGTTTAGGAGAGGCTTTTCAACCCTGTGGATGTCACTACAACTCTCACCATCCCTAGCTGCCACAGAAATTGCCCACCGTACTTGGAGGTTACTAGGAAAGGCTATTCTATTTAAAGCTACTTTATTATTACATGTAGTCCTTGATTTACGACTGCGATTGACCCAAACATTTCTATTACTAAGCAAGACATTTGTTAAATTAATTTTGCCTCATTTTACGACCTTTCTTGCCACAGTTGTTAAGTGAATCACTGCAATTGTTAAATTAGTAACACGGCTGTTAAGTGAATCTGGCTTCCCTAGGGACTTTGCTTGGGAGAAGTTGGAAAAGGGGATCACGTGACCCCAGGACACTGCGACCATCATAAATATGTGCCAGTTGCCACGGGCCTGAATTTGGATCACATGACCATGGGGAGGCTGCAATAATCGTAAGTGTGAAAAGTAGTCATAAGTTGTAACTACGAATGGTCACTAAACAAATGGTTGTAAGCCGAGGACTGCCTATAAGGGAAACTAACTCTGATCCCTTCCGGACCTCAGAGTCCTAGTGGACAATCACTTAAATATGAGCCAGCCGTGTGCTGCAGCTGCCAAAAAAGCCAACACAGTCCTTAGGCTGCATTAACAGAGGGATAGAATCAAGATCACGTGAAGTGTTAATACCACTTTACAAGGCCTTGGTAAGGCCACACTTGGAATACGGCATCCAGTTTTGGTCACCACGATGTAAAAAAGATGTTGAGACTCTAGAAAGAGTACAGAGAAGAGCAACAAAGATGATTAGGGGACTGGAGGCTAAAACATATAAGGAATGGTTGCTGGAATTGGGTATGTCTAGTTTAACGAAGAGAAGGACGAGGGGGGACATGATAGCAGCGTTCCAGTATCTCAGGGGCTGCCCCAAAGAAGAGGGAGTCAAGCTATTCTCCAAAGCACCTGAGGGCAGGACAAGAAGCAACGGGTGGAAACTTAGCAAGGAGAGAAGCAACCTGGAACTAAGGAGAAACTTCCTGACAGTTAGAACAATTAACCAGTGGAACAACCTGCCTCCAGAAACGGTGAATGCTCCAACACTGGAAGTTTTTAAGAAGAGACTGGACAGCCATTTGTCTGAAATGGTGTAGGGTTTCCTGCTGAGCAGGGAGTTGGACTAGATGACCTCCAAGGTCCCTTCCAGCTTTATTATTATTATTATTAGTAGTAGTAGTAGTAGTAGTAGTAGTAGTAGTATTAGTAGTAGTAGTAGTATCCTTTGTCGGTTTTCTCAAGGGTCGACATACCCAGCAAGTCTGCTTTCTCCTTCCAGCCCTTGGCTTCTGATAGGGATATGCTAAACCTACTGATTTGGTAATGGAGCAAATGGAAAATAATCCACTCCCCAATCAAGCGGATTTTGTACATCCTTCGATACAGATTTTTGCCCATCTTTATGAGTCGGCTTTACAATCCATTCCAGTTTGTTACAATCCTTCTTAAGATGCAGCGTCCAGAACTCCATGTTGCTGTTGTTGGGGAGAGACCAGGTGAAGTCAAAGAGGAGTTTGGGGATTTTAGGTGATTCCTTTCCTCTGAATTAGAGGGAAAGAGAAAGAGAGAGTGAGAAAGTGGAGTTTTATTGCTTTCTTTCGCAGTGGGGGGGGGATATTCCAAGAAAAGGAAAGAGAGAGTGAGAAGAGGGAAAGTTTCCTGGGGTTTTAAATCTAAGTTTGAACTAGAGAACGAGGGAAGGGGAGGGGGGATTTGGGACGCGGAGACCTGGGGCTGCGAGTGACGACAGAAGAGAAGGAGAGACTGGCCGCTACCATTCCGGAGGCCAGCGGCCATCCGAACTTTGATTATTATCACCTGTGCAAGCTAAAGACGTTTTGGGGAGTTGCCCTCGTGGGGTGAGCTGTTGCCACGGAGCGCCAACCATCTTCACTGGTGCTTTCCGCTGCTGCCTGAAGCTGGAGGGTCTTCCCCCTACCCCCCCCCCGTTTTTCCAAGTGGCTGCTACAAGCCATTGACTATTACCCCCATGACTGCCAGGGGGTTGATGAACATTGTCACACACTGACTGCCGCGGTTAGGGGTTGGTCATCCTTGTTCCTGTAAACTCCATTGATGACGAGAGCCTGCCACCCTTCCGCCCCACGTGAGCTCCCGCTAAAAAGGACATTCCACCAACGCCTTGCGAGCCCGGCTGCCGGGTGTAATGGGAAGGAGGGAGGGGGCTAGGAGGGCCTGGGCTTTGGTGGCCTCTGAGGGGGTAACGCTACACCTCTATTAAATCCATTCTATCGTTTTTACCTCACTTCCCAAGTTTATTTTTTTTTTTAAAAAAGGGTATTAGCTATCCCTTCAGTTTTATGTTATATATACTAAATAAATTTTTGTTGTACTACAACTCCAAATTGACTGTCCAAAAAACAATGCCTTTGGCATTTAATCTATAGTACTAGTCAAAAAAATGAAAACAAAACAATACATAATATGAAGCAATAAAATGATTGTAGGACTCCACAAGCTACGCAAGTAGAAAGCCTTTTCAAGAGCTAAGGTTAAAAGATGAAACATGTTTTCAAAAACCAAGGGGAGTAGTGTCCGAAGATCACTTTAACAGTGCTTATTTCACATTTGATCTGGCATAAGAAAAGTCCTTTTATGTAGCATTGATTTACAGAAATCTCCGAGATACGTAAAATGCAATCTAGCAAATATCAGTCATTTGGGCGGTTGAAATCTTGATAGTAAGACCCCTCCTCCCTTGGAGACCTATGTTGTTCATGATGGGAAAGATAAACTAACATTTGAGATCAGAACAATATATATTGGGAAAATAAAAATCTCCAGACGATTCACAGATTGGCAACCTAATTGTTATAATCTGCACCTATGCCGAAGGCGTGTTTTTCTTATTTCAGAGGGTTCGCTAAAAAAAATAAGGCACATTAAATAAGCATAAAGTTGCTTAATGTAAATAGTAAATATAGCCATATCAAGGCCAAACTTCCACAGACGTGTTTGTTAACACCTTCAGATAAATTTTCATTATCTCAAAATAGCTGTCTTAAGTACAAAAGTAGTTATAAGAGTAACTGTAGAAAAGGGAGTTCGGATTTTTCTGGTGAAAAAAACAACACACCTCCCGAAGCCTGTTTCTCATACAAATCCCGTACCCAATTAGTCTCAGCCTCTAAAAAGCTACTGCTGTCGAAGAATGAAAATTACATTTTCCAGTGAGAATGACTGACATTTTAATAAAAAAATCTTCCTTATTTACTGAAAAAATGGATTTGATAAACACGAAGCCAATCTCTGTGATTGCAAATTACCCAGTGTGCTGTATGGATGTGGGGCAACACAGTGCTGGAAGTAGCAGCATATGGCGAACCTTTTAGAGACCGAGTGCCCAAACTGCAAC